TTGCCTTTATTATTTCCTTTCTTTAGGTTTATTCTCTTTGTTCTTTTTCAAACTTTCTGAGGTGGATAATTTCCTCATTAATTATGTGTGTCTTTATTTCTACACAATCATTTATGGTATACATTTCAATTATTATCACATCCCATAAGTTCAGATACCATTCAATTCTAGACATTTGATATTTGATAAACCAAAGTATGTTTTATCTTTGACTCATGTGTGACTTAGTTATTTAAATTTTACGTTTGACCCACATCTAATACAGAGGTGGAGGAGAGGAAAAGGTTGCTTATCTTTTTCTAATTGATTTCTAACTCCGTTGATTCATGGTCAGAGAATATGGTCCATATGATACAGATTCTTCAGTATATGTTGCTTTGTGGCCAAGTTCACACTTTTTGTGAACGCTCCATGGTTTTTGAAAAGGGAAATTGATGGATAGAGGGCTATTTATCCAATAACAAAGCTTATTACTTGTGTTGCTTAAATCTTCTAAAATTCTATTGTTCTTTGGCTGCTCAGTATTTTAATCTCCCATTATTCTGTGGATTTGTCCTTTCTTCCTTATAATTTTGCCAAGTTTTGCTCTTAGATTTTCTTTTTAATTTATTTGTGCTGTATAGATTTTAAAGCTATTTATCAGAAGGTTGCAAATTTAGAATTTTTGTATCTTCCTGGTGAATTTTTCCTTTTAAATTATAGCCTCTGCTTTAAAGTCTATTGTGTCTGATGCTAATATTTAACATCTCCTTTCTTTGGACAGTATTTGCCTTGTGAATACTTTTCCATTTGTAAAGTTTTGACTTTCCTGAGTCCTTAAGTTTAGGAGTGTCTGTTTTATATAGCACAATAACTGGATTTTTAAAAAGCTATCTGATAATCTGTTTTAACTGGAGACTAGTTTATTTTATTATGGTTACTGATATAGTATTTGCACTAATCTCTGCCATGTTTCATGCCTTTCACTCCTGTGTTTCTCTCCTTCCTTTCCTGTCTTCATTGGATTCATGGAGCTTCTTTATTCCCTTTTTACTTTCTACAAGTTTAGATCTTACACTTTATTTCTATTCTTATAATGGTAACCTCTATCATTTTAGCAAACATACTTAACAAAATTGAAAGTTTGACGTCTATGATGTTTTACCCAGCCTTTCTAGATGTTTGCAGGGGGAGAGTTTTTAGATTCTATCATCAGTAATATTGCTGGAAGTGGTAGGCCCCACTTACTCTTCAACTCACTAAAATTTGGTTTCTCTTGCTCCAGTACAGCTCCCACCAAAGTTACAAATGATCGCCATGTCGCTACACTTAGTGAAGCTTGGTTGGATCCAGCTCTCCGAAACAACCAACAATGCTGACCACTTCCTTCTCTATGAAATAATCTTTTCCCTCTGCTTCTAGAACACAAAATTCTCCCCATTTTTCTCTTGCCCATTGCTTTTTGGTCTCCTTTGCTTGCTCCTGCTCTCCCTTTCCTACCTACGTACCTCTTAAATTTTGTGATCCTCAGGGCTCTGCCTGAGCCATCATCTCTTTTCTATACCCCTTTTCCAGGCATTCCTGTTCTCTCTCATGGCTCCAAACACCATCTATACGCCAGCTCCTCCTAAACTGACATCCCCAGCTATAGTCTCTCTCCTAGGCTCAGATTCACAAAGCCAACTTCCTTCTGGACATCTTCACTGGGATGTCTTACTCACCAAACCTGACCTGCTCATCTTCTTCCCCCAAAAACTGTTCTTCCTTCAAATGCCCCTTCTCTCAGCAGACGGCCCAACCTGTCCTTTGACCTAAAACCTTCAGGACTCATTCTTGAGTCTTTGCTCTCCCTCTGCCTTCACAGCCATCAAATGCTAAGTCTTGCCAAGGAAAACTGCTAAATATATCTCGAGTCTGTCTACTTGTGTCCATTCCTACTGCTACAACTCTAAACCCAGCCAGCCTCTCTCCCTGGAGCACTGTGAGCCCCTCCTAACTGGCCTCTCCTCCCCTCCAGTCTACATCCACCCCATGGACAGACTTTCTAAGGTATAGACCTCATCATGTCCCTGCTCTGAGTAAACCCTCCACACGATTCCCATTGCTCTCTGGGTAAACACAAATTCCTAATCATACCTTCCAAAGTCTCCCAGTTCTGGCCTTTCTGGACTCAGATGGGACCCTTCGCTCATTGATCTCTTCTCTCCAACCATATGGAACTTTTTATTCTTTCTGTTCTCAAAAGCACCACACTCTCTCTTAACTCCCAGCTTTCCTACCTCCCTCTTCCCACTTAGAAAACTCCCCTGCCCCTTCCCCGAGGGCCAGCTCCTATTCCAGCTTCAGACTTCTGTTTAAATCTCATTCTTCAGGGAAGCCTTAGTTGACTCCTGTTATGGACTGAATTATGCTCCCTCCCCGAGTTATACACTGAAGCCCTAACCCCCAATGTGACTGTATTTGAAGAAGGGGCCCTCGAAGGGGTAATTAAGGTTCAATGAGGTCATTAGAGTAGGGCACTAAACCAACCGCACTTGTGTCCTTATAAGAAGAGGAAGAGACACCAGGACTACTCACACACAAAGAAGACTACGTGAGGACACAGTGAGAAGGCTGTCTGCAAGCCAAGGAGAGAGGGCTGGAGACATCTTGATCTTGGGACGTCTGGCCTCCAGAACTATGAGAAAATAAATTTCTGTTGCCTAAGCCACCCAGTGTGTGGTACTTCGTTGCAGCATCCCAAAGAGACTAATACAACTTCCTAACCTGAGTTAGAGCCTCTGGCATTTTGCAAGTCTCTCTTTGTATCATACATCACACTGGAAATTGCTGGTTTAGTATCTGTTTTGCCCACTGGACTGTAGATATCATGAAGGAAGGTAACTCTTGTTTATTGTTACTGTACTCTCCAGTGCCTAGCAATACTCAAAACGTAACAAGAGCTCAAAAAATGAATGTATAGACTCTATACGCATGTGGCTATAGAAATTTAAATTAATTATAAATGAAATAAAATTAGAAATTCAGTTCCTCAGTGGTACTAGCTACGTTTCAAATGCTCCATAGCCACATGTGGCTATTGCATACCAAAGTGGACACTATAGATTATAGAACATCTCCATCATCACAGAACATTCTGTTGGACAGCACTGGTATAAATGACACCTGAATGAACTCTGAGTATGAATGAAAGTTAGCCAGGTAAAGAAAGATGGGGAGGCGGAGGGAATGACAAGGGCAACACGCAGAGATGAACCACCGGGGTATGTGTGGGCAACTGGAAGCAGTGTGTTGCTGCTCAAGTGTGAGTTAGGGAGAGGCGAGAGGTAAGGACAAGGTCACGGGAGGACTTAAGTCCTGATGAGAGCTTGAAATTTATTGTGACTGCGGAGAGAATCCAAGCAGAGAAGTGTCTGGGTCAGATTTGCATTTTAGATACATTACTCTGTGGGGAGTGTAAGCCTGGAGGCAGGAAAAACAATCAGGGGGTTGTTGAAAAAGTCTGGGTAAGAGAACCAGAACAAAGGCAGGGTTGGAGAGGACAGAGCCGGAGAAATAAGCCAAAGTGGATGGCTGATTGAATGTAGGGCTGAGAGATGGGAAGAGTCCCATGTGACCTGTAAATTTCTGGATGGTGGTGCTACCAACTGAGACTAGACTGAAGAGGAAGGTAGGAGAAGTGGGTTTTATTTGAGAGGAGGAGGACAGAGGGGGAAAAGATGATCAACGCCATTTTGGACACATGAAGTTTGCAGTGTTTGTGGGATACAGTGGATGTGATGTTGGCATAGAGGCTGAGGCTCAGAAAAGAAGGCTGGGTGGCAACTGAGCTGTGGGGATCATCAGCAAATAGTTGTGAAAATCATGTGCTTGGACTATATCACCTGAAGGGAAAAGCAAGCAGTGGACCAAGTCCAGAACTCCAGGGAATAGCATTTAGGGATGAGCAGAGGAGAGGCCCATGATGAGCACAAAGAACACATTATGGATATATCATTTATGAAGTTACCCAAACGATTTTTCTTTTTGAGGAAGATTAGCCCTGAGCTAACATCTGCTGCCAATCCTCCTCTTTTTGCTGAGGAAGACTGGCCCTGAGCTAACATCCATGCCCATCTTCCTCCACTTTATGTGGGACGCCTGCCACAGCATGGCTTGACAAGCAGTACATAGGTCTGCACCTGGGATCCGAACCGGCAAACCCCGGGCCGCCGAAGCAGTACGTGCAAACTTAACCGCTGCACCACCGGGCCTGCCCCTACCTAAACTATTTTAAAACTGTTCTATTCTTTGGACCCCTCAGTCTTCTGGAAGCAGCAGTTTCAACATATTTCTAACTGGTATGTAAGGTTTGTTTGATGTTTGGTTGGCTTGTTTCCATCCCCGAACAAGGTCCCTGAAGTGTGATCAGGAACTGACTGCTCTGGAATCTCCTGAATGTGATCTGTGGGATCAGAGAATGTCCTCTGAGAGCCCACCTGTCTGAGCTGGGGAAGGAGTCTTCTTGCCCAGAGGATGAGAGACACGGGTATGACAACCAGGAGCCACCCATAGAATCTATGGAGCCGGAGGGAAAGTCGTTTGGTTTTGCAGCTCAAAACCAGAAATGGTTCTGCCCTAAAACAAGAGGGATCCCAGACTGATCAGGGGCTCCTGAGTGATCCCCTTGAAGCGAACAGCTAGGCTGACTGGCGATGGGGAAATTGCAGCTCCTTTTGACCTGATTCTACACGGAAGGGGACAAAATATGGAAGAGAGCTGTCAGCCTGAATTCCAATCAGAATGTTAGCAGTTCTCTGATAGCCATTAACAGCCAGACAATACTACCCCCAGGCTCTAATATTACTTGACTCTCAATACCCTTTCTGTTTAATTTCGATTACATTTTTTCTTGAGTCATAAATCTGTCAGGCAACCCAGGAGTTAACTTGGAATAATGCTTTCTCTTTAGTCACTCCACCTCTCTAAAAATTTAAATTTAATTTAAGAATTTAATTTGTTTATGATTTACTGGTACTTACTGATTTCATCCACATTTTTAAGAAATTTCTGCAAGTCTTTCTCTTGATTGTCAGCCATTGTGAAACAGAACCCCTGAGGGAGGCAGCATAAATGATGAAAATTAATAATAATAAAGCACTAAACAGAATTTGTCAGGCTGATTACCCTTCTAAAACTAAGAGCCAAGTGATTATTTTTAAGATGGATTTGTGTTTACAAATGTCATGAAAAGCAGCAGGGTGATCTATCTCACTCCAAGTGCTGGTGAGGCCAAGGGACACTCATTATTTGTGGTGATACTTCCGGAAAGCTGCCAGCCCTCCCTCCACTGGGGAAGCTGCTCTGCAAAATGTTCCTCCGAAGCCGACATCAACCGTTGTGATTCAGGGACCCAGCGTGAAGGAGCCCAGGAGGAGAGCAGCCGACAGGCCACCAGGGATGGAAGAGGATGCTAGCGCCTGACTTTGATCATGACAGGCTGTCCCAGACAGAAGCTGGGAGCTGGCTGTGCAACAGATAACAAGAAACGGGACAATTTACATCTAAATGTCCATACTTGTTTAAAATATAAGCTTCTGGCTTGTTTCTGAGGACTGGAGAGAAGCTACAAATTGCCGGAAGGGATGAGAACTTGACGGCAGCTGCATCTGCGTCTCTTCTCCTCTCCAGGTCCTTTAGATTTACTACCTCTCAGCTGTTTTTAAGTGAAAAGCCCTCAGGGTGTACCCAGTGGTTCCCAAAAGTTCATCCACAGACCATAAAAATCATCCGGAAACTTGTAAAATATACAGGGTCCTCAGTCTTAGTGCCAGAGCTTCTCAGTCGGTGAGCCTGAGATAGTAGCCAGAAACGCAGTTTTAAATACCCTCCAGCTGATTCTGATTTACAGCTAGGTTTAGTAGCACTGTAGTCGTGAAATGCACCTATCACTGGGAATTTGACATCTGCCGCGAACAAGCTGTGAGTTATTTGATCTCTCTGGGGTGCCACCAATTACAAGCTGTGTGACCCCGGCTGAAGTCACAACCTCTCTGAGCCTCAGAGTCCTCATTCATTCTATGGAAAAGTAGTAGAAACCAGGAGGGCTATTCTGGGGATTAATTTAAAGGGCCAGGCACCACGCAATGAGTAGTAAATGCGAGGCACCCTTATCTATAAAACGGGGTGGGGTTATGTGGCTTAAATAAAAGACCACTAGGGTTCTTCCCAGCTCTAGCATTCTACACTCCCCGCAACGGAGGCCTAGTGAAGTGAGTTAACTCGCCCAAACTTACACGGGCAGAGGGCAGGCGCAGAACTTCCAGGGCAGGCGCCAACCCCTCTGCTCCCAGAACAGGGGTCTAAGGGCGCGCACTGCCTGGGCAGGGAGCCCACGACAGGACAAGAGGCCAAGGCCGAGGGACGCCCAAGGCGTCCGGCGCTCCGAGGCTCACTGAACAGCAGCCTGCAGCCGGCCAGGACCAGAGCGGGAGCCCGCCGACACGCTCGCCACGACGCCCCTCCCCGCCCGGCGCAGAGGGGCGGGGCCGATGGCACCGTTGCCCGGCAACCACTCCTCAGCGTCCACCGGCCCCCTTGCCCGCCAGGGAGGGACCAGCCCGCAGCCCGCAGCCGATACCGTCCTGTCTGCTGGGGCCCAGCCCAGCGTCCTCTGCTGAGCTCTGACGGCCAGATCAGGACCAGGTCCCAGGGCAGACCCCGGACCACCCCGCTGCACTGACCTGACGCGCCCAGGGTTGCACCGGAAATGGCGGCTGTGGGCGGGCGGGGACTGACCTGGGCTGGGGTGGGCAGTGTTCAGGGCCTAGGGGCGGGGCCAAGGGCCAGGGGTGGGCGTGGCCCACGCTCAGACGCACAACCCTCGCACTCTAGATTCGGAGCGGGCAGCCGAGTTCAAGGCCCAGCTGGGGTCCAGGATACCCGGTGGGGGCCCGGGAACGAGGAGGAAGCGAAAGAAGCTCAGACTGATCCGCCCTGGTCCCTAAATCAGCGCCAGGTTTTCGCCTCCTTTTCGTCTAAGGAGTGCCGTCTCACTCCCATAATATCCATAGAATCCATGGCCCAAAAGGATGAAAATCTCAAATGTACTTGAGAGAGCCAGGCTTGGGTGTGAGTCGGTTTTGCTTCTTGGGAAATGTGAGGCTTTCGGAGAGCTGTGCAACCTCTGTGATCTTCCGTTTCCTCATCTTTAAAATGGAGAAATGGCACTTTCTCCTAAGTTTTATGGTTGAAGCACCAGGCACCTAGTCAGTAGGAATAAGTGGTAGTTACTATCCAGAAAATCATAGAATTTAGAGCAGAATGAGACAATGGTCACACTTTGAATACTCACACACACCCTTAAAGAGGTTGCAGTCTATTTTTTTTTTAATGAAAGTTCAGTATTATATGCCGGATTAAAAGGGAGAAAAGCAGTTTTGGGAGAAAGTCCCATCTTGAGTTTAAGCTGATGTTCAGAAACACCTGGGACTTCTTGGCAAGTTTGTGGGTTTTTTACAGAAACCTGTTTGGTAGGGCCTGAGGGGCCCCTTGGGGATGGATCTTACTAAGAGGGGAGTGGGGCCGGGCATAGCCAGCTAGATCAACATTGATTCTGAGTACAGACTGTGGCTGTGTCCTGTGGCCTAGGCCCGGTCAGATGCATGTCTGAGCCCCGTGGAGAAGAGGGGCCTGTTTGACTGACTCCCCACAGGTGCTGGTGCTCGTGCAGTCCCGCGTGGGTCCTCCCCCAGGGGACTCCAGCACAAGGTGGCCAGGGCATTCTCCTGGCAGCAGACCAGGTGCAGCTTCGGCAGAGTGAGTCTTTTAGCACATCAGCTGCAGCAGGAGGCCATGCGGCCTGGGGGACCCAGCAGTGCAGTCGCAGCAGCTGTCCTGAGGGACTGAGATGCCTCATGAGAAGAAGCAGAGAGTGGTGGTGTCTGGCAGAGCAGCATTGTTAGTGCCTTCTGCACCCTGGAATTCTCAGGAAGACACGGGGTACTTTACGGTGACCTTATAGCCGGTGGGAATTGATGGAGACAAGAACCAGCAACAGGTTATTACTGTTAGTATCACCTCATTTTCCTTTCAGGCATAGAGAGGCCTTGAGCACACACAGGCATAGTCTCCAACCTCAGGGTCTTTCTTGTCACTTTGGGGCTGACAGTCTTAGTTCCAGATCACTTACTTCCTATTCCGCTACTCTTTTTACCAAACTCCTGCACCTGGACTCCAGAGAGCCCTGCCCACAACTGACTACACCACACAACCATTCATTCATCAAACGTGGATGGTCTGCCGTGCACCAGGTGCTGTAGGAATTCCCCGGGGTGCATGACACATATTCATCATACGCTGAGTGGCTAAGAGCTGGGGCTCGGGAACCGTTCTGTCTGGGTTCACACAGCGGTCATTAAAATATTGCTAAGCACCTCCCAAGCTTCTTTTACTGAGCTAGGTGCTGGAGGCCTTTTTTTCTTCTTTACTTTCTTCTCCTATTCCTAGCTGTGGACCTTGACAGATTATTTAATCTTCCTGTGCCTTGGTTTCCTCATCTGAAAAAATGAAGATGGAATAGGGTTGATCTCATAGGGTTGCTGTGAGAGGTAGACGAGTTAATATAGGTCAGGTGCCTAGAAAACGCCTGGAGCGTGATCAAGACTCAGTAAATGTTATTAACTATTACTCCCGCTACTGTGATTAATACGCATTAGACCACTGCTTTGGAACCTGGATTGTGCATAAGAATTCCCTGGGGAGCTTGTTAAATTGCAGATGCTGGTTCAGCGGGACTGGGGACAGAGATTCTGTAGTGATAGCTCTTTGTGGACTGTGGGCCACGGTGAGCAGTAAAGGGCAGACACTTTACTAAATGCTGGGGATGCAATGGAGTACAAGTGGTACCGTCTTAGTCTGGGGTCTCCAGAGAAACAGAACCAGTAGGAGATATATCTATAGATATAGATAAAGAGATTTACTGTAAGGAATTGGCTCACATGATTATGGAGGCTGAGAAGTCCACGATCTGCAGTCCGCAAGCTGCTGGAGACCCAGTGAGCCAGGAGGGTAAGGTCTAGCCCGAATCCAAAGGCCTGAGAACCAGGAGAGCTGGTGGTGGAAATTCCAGTCTGAGTCTGAGACTGAAAGCAGAAGACTGACGTCCTAGCTGAATGCAGCCAGGCGGAGAGAGTGAATTCCTTCTCATTCAGCTTTTTATTCTATTCAGGCCTTCAACGGATTGGATGAGGCCCACCCACATTGGGGAGGGCAGTCGGCTTTACTCAGTCTACTGATTCAGATGTTAATCTCACCCAAAAACGCCCTCACAGACACACCCAGAATAATGTTTAAACCAAATATCTGAGCACCCCGTGGCCCAGTCAAGTTGACACATAAAATGAACCATCCCGAGTACCCAGTCACCAGACCCAAGGAGCTTATCACCTAAGGGGGTGAAAGGTAAGTAAACAAATAATCATTGAAATGCTCACTGCAATAAGTGCTATGAAAAGTAAAGGTTGCAAACAAAAGTAGCAAAGGATGCTATGAAGGCCGAGTGTCAAACCTGGGAGATTTTCCCTCCCGACATGGTGTTTAAGCTGAGTGTAAGGGGCGAGCAGGCATCGCCCAGTTGAAGAGGGAGGTGGAAGCAGAGGGGACAGCACGGGCGGTCAGGAAGGAGCCTGGCATGGACGAGGAGCCACAGGAGGCCAAGCTTGGCTGCTGCTTAGAGAGCAGAAAGCAAGCAGTGCAAGAGGAAGCAGGGCCCAGATCACACAGGGCCTTTGGAAGGTTCTCGGTCTTTATCCTAAGTGCCACGCGCAGCTTTTGAGGGGTTTAAGCAGAAGAGTGACATGCTCAGATTTTTTTTTCTTTTTAGAAAATCATTCTGGTTGTAATGTGGAGAATGATCAGAAGAGGGCAAGGAGGACACTGGGAGACAAGTTAGGAGGTTGCTGACAGTGGGGACTGGGAGAGGGAATGGAGAGGATTAGATGAATTTGAGATGTATTTTGGAGGGAGAATTGACAGCAGAGAAATATCAGCAATGACATTAGTCTTCTGGCTTGAGCCGGAATGGGGCTGTCTATTGGCTGAGATAGAGAAGACTGGAGGAGAGCCAGGTTTGGAGAAAAGATAATGAGTTCAGATTTGGCATATGCAGTTCAAGATGCCTATGAGTTATTCAAGTGTAGATGTCGAATAAATTGAAAATTGTCCCTTAATATTTATTCTCTTCTTCAGATCCTCCAATTTTTAGCAAAGCACAAGGTACCTAAAATAGACTGTATTTCTCACCTTGCCTTCCACATGACTAAGTTCTGATCAATTAGATATAAGCAGAAATGGTGGGTGCTACTTCTAGGAAGAGTCCTAAAAAAGGATTCCCTTCTCCTTACCTTTCCTTCTCTTGTTGGTTAGAGTGTGGACACAATGGCTGGAGCTGGATCAGCCATTTTGGACCATGAGGTAGAAGCAGTATGTTGAGGATGGAAAGTGACAAAGTAGAAGGAGCCTGGGTTCTGATGGTCATAGGGTTATCGTCCTGGTTTTGGACTGCCTAACTCCAAATTTCTTTATGTAAGAGCCATTTAACCCCAACAGTATGTCAGGCTCTGAGAATATAAAGACTTCTGTCTTAAGTCCCTGTTATGTTGAGTTTTCTGACACTCCCAGCCAAACCTAATGTTAACTGATATCGAAGGCACTATTCATTCATTCAACTAATACTTTTTAGGTTGATGTCAAATTTTTTTCATCACAAGTCCAAATAGTCCAAATGATGTTATGCTGGCCTAATGGAAATATTTAATAATAAAACATATCAATTTTTAAATAAATTGTGTCCAGTGGACTCTAAATACCAGCGCAATTTGCCACTGAGATCATGTAATTAAGAAGCATATGAATAATGTCTTCTTTATGTTAGAAGTTATTTTTATGGTTAGAGGTTATTTTTTTCTCCTTGAAGTCATATTTCTATTTTATACCCCCACACACACACACACTCAGAATACTATTGTAATATAGGATATTTTTATGCTTGAATCTCTTTCACGGATCATCCCATCCATAATTCTCTGCCACAGAAATATCAGTACACATTGCTGGAGTCTCTGCTTTAACCAGACACCATGCTACAGGTCAGGGGAACAGCCTCTATCCTCAGAGAATCCGCAGTCCAGTGAGGAAGATAGTAGACGCATAAACAAACTATTATGGAGCAGTGTGGTGAGGGCAGTGACAGTCTAGTGCTTAAGGAAGCAGGAAGGAGGAGGAATGGTGTCAGGCAAGGCCCCACAGGAATAGGAATTTACGCAGTGAGTATAGAAGCTGAGCATGCATGGCGTGCTCCTGGCAGAGGGGACAGAATGAGCGGAAGTTTAGACGCAGGAAACATCCTTCTGTGTGGGAGAAAACCGGAAAGTTTAAGGCAAGAGTGGTGAGGGGTGAGCCCAGAGACGTGGGTAGGGCACAGGGTATCAGGAAAGGAAGCAAGGAAGAGATGATGTGAGAGACAGGGCAGGGGATGCAAACAGGGGACAGGTGTGTTTGCTCCTCGGTGAAGCTGGAATAACAATTCTCAGCAGCCACAAATGCTTGCGGCTTCTTCAGAAGTCACTTCCATCTTGATGACTCCTGCGTGAATCTCTGTCGAGCCCAGACCCCACTCCCAGCCCCAGCCCTAGCAATCCCACAGGATAACTAGACTATGCCCCTCTTGGGAGTAGGGATTTTGTTTTATTTTGTCTTAGTATTCTCCGCACTGGTGCTTAGTTGGAGCTAAATAAAGATTTGTTGAATAAGTGAGTTAATCCCTTG